GATAGATGATAGATGATAGATGATAGATGATAGATGATAGATGATAGATGATAGATGATAGATGATAGATGATAGATGATAGATGATAGATGATAGATGATAGATGATAGATGATAGATGATAGATGATAGATGATAGATGATAGATGATAGATGATAGATGATAGATGATAGATGATAGATGATAGATGATAGATGATAGATGATAGATGATAGATGATAGATGATAGATGATAGATGATAGATGATAGATGATAGATGATAGATGATAGATGATAGATGATAGATGATAGATGATAGATGATAGATGATAGATGATAGATGATAGATGATAGATGATAGATGATAGATGATAGATGATAGATGATAGATGATAGATGATAGATGATAGATGATAGATGATAGATGATAGATGATAGATGATAAGATAGATGATAGATGATAGATGATCGATGATCGATGATTAGCTGATAGATGATAGCTAGATGATAGATTGATAGATGTAGTGAATGATGATAGATGATAGATGAATAGATGAATGATGATAGATATGATTGATAGATGATAGATGATAGATGATAGATGATAGATGATAGATGATAGATGATAGATGTTAGATGATAGATGATAGATGATAGATGATAGATGATAGATGATTTCCTTAAAATAAGAGATCGAATCTTGCCTTTTTGTAATAGCTAGACACAGGACATGACCTACCCAGACAACCCCATCTAGAACACTCTTACTTTTACAACTTACCTAACTTGACATTTTGTGAAACCAGCGAACGTGGCGTATGCGCGATACCTGAAATATCTAATTGCGCCCAGGCGAGTCGTTTCGACTGAAGGCGACATCTTCAAATGGAATAACTGAATAGAGTTGAATGGAGCGTGGCTGCATAATAAAATGTCAAATGCTCGACCTGTCGGCAGGTGAAAGCATAAACAGCAAACAACTACATTAACACTAACGATGTCCTGGCGCAAGCCCAGGACAATTGAAATGCTTTGGCCAGGACCCACACAGCGGCGGCGAGCAAGAGGAAGATGCTGCAAGCGAGGCATATGATAAACAGATGAAAGGTTGCAGAAAAATGGTTGCAAATACTTTATGCCAGCTTTGTTATTGTTGTGAGAATACCCTGCAACTGGCGAAAGAGAGGGTATGATAGGGCGATATTAAAAGTAACACGAAATGGCAACTCAGGGGGTCAGTGAGGGTTTAACAGTTGCATACGCAGTTGTTACCCAAATACAGGGTATCATTTAGTCTATACGCCTTGAAGCTTCCATGGTACCCGCTTGTTTTGCCCGCAACTTGGTTTAGTTTTCTTATTTGGGAGTTTAGCGAACCCGAACTCCAGTCGGGAGTTGGTCTCGGCGTCGTCGTCGGAGTCGAAGACCCAGACAAACGCTTCCATGCGCTTTCTTTGTGTCTGCCACAGCCCGCTTTCGCCCCCCACCTATGGCCAGACAATGGGCAACGCTTGGATCCTGGCTCATGGCTTAGGAACGCATTCGAGAGGCTAATGCCCCTTTGGCCATTGGATCTGTTGAGAGACACACACAAACATAAACACATAAAACATAATAATAATAAAAGCAGTTGGCAAATTTATGAATGCGCCACAGAGCGTTGCAATTAGCTGCCTGAATTCCTATATGCTCCTATGCCATAAACATAGATGGATCATAAACGTATTTGGCATGTGAGTTGTGTGTCAAAATTTGCATAAACTGCACATAAACTAAATTAACATACAATGAGGCACTTTTGCATTAACTGTAATTAAGTGTATCTACTGCTTGCCACATGCCACCTGCCACCTGCCGTCAGCCAATTGCCGCATGCCTCTCCTCCTTCTTTTCCAAGGTTTTTAAATGCTCTACAGTCGCATTGAAAAGTGCAGCTCCAGCTGTTGCTGTTGCTGTTGCTGTTGTTGATGCCCAAACCGAACTCCCATACTTTGACTAACAAATAGGCACACTCATTAATTAGACACACACACATAGGTGTGTGGTGTGTGTATCTTCCAGGCTGTCTTGCTTTAAAGAGTCTTTCGACCACCAAGTGAACTTTTGTCAGACCTTAACAATAGATTGCAGCTACACACAATTAGCTGAGATACCTTCACTTTGTAGTCGAAAGGGTTATGACAAGCTAGGTACTTATTAGTTCAAAAAAGAGAGGATGAGTAAGGGAAAGAATCAGAGAGATAATGAAAATAATATGGTAATATAATAAAAGGGGGACACAGAGAGAGAGACAAAACTCAACAGAGATATTAGAGTTGAAGCAGTGATAGACAAAGAGAGAAAAAGTCTTAAGATATAGGGAGATAGAGAGAGAGATAGATATAGATATAGAGATAGTGAGAGAGAGAGAGAGAGAGAGAGAGAGAGTGAGAGTGAGAGAGAGACGATAGATAGTGTGAAAGAGATTTAGAGAAATGGAGACTATGAAAGGAGATAACGAAAGAGCGAAAGCCAGATAACAATTATGAGAATATAAAAGAATGGGAGAGAAAAAGAGATATTTAGAGAAAGAAAATTATTAAGATTAGTAAAAAAATAATTTACAGGTAGAGAGAGAGAGAGAGGAAAACACAATCAGATAAAAAGAAAGAAGAGTTATTTAAGAAAAGTAAAGTGAGAAAGTAAAAAAGGAATCTCTATGGAATTTCTCTGAGATAAAAATGAAATAAGAATTAGGAAAGAAATAGAGGGAGAAAATGAGAGGTAATAAAATAATGAAAAAAGGAAAAAATGTTAAAGACAGAGAGAGCAGAAAGCCAGACGCACACGGAGAAAGAAAAAGGGAAACAGAGGAAGTAAGTCTTCCAGTAAAGAATCGAGAGAAGTTCAAACTATGTTGTTTGCCTTTAAACTATCCAATAATTTTTCTATTTCTAGTAGAAATTGCGATTCAACTCTTAATTATGCAAGTAGTAGTAAAGATAAAAACAATTACAACTATGTGCCTTAGCTATAAGTTTGATCCAATGTCCACAGTTTACTTGACAAACATATTCAACTCAGGTGCAGGTATCTCTTAGTCAGTCAGCAACGCATATCAAGACTTTCCCACTTGTTAAGATGCGATTGAGCGAATGCAGTGTAAGAGAAAGTAACGGTAAATAGCAGCTCTGAAAAGCCTGAGAACAGGCCAAAAGTTTATTTTATACATTCACTTATTCATGAAAGAAGAAACTGCGCACTTTCAACTTCCAACTTCCGAGCTCCCAACTCCAGTTTAAATTTTTGGAACTGGAGACGCAAATCGGAGACGTGGCACTCAACTAAATTAAATCCTTTCATGGCTTGGATTGTGATTTGAATATTTGCGGTGTTGTTTAGATTATGAATTCATTTATAATCATTTAGTTTGAGTTATGTACATTGAAACACACTCAAGCACAAATCCCATAATGAGCATATTCTATTAGGCCGGAGCTACCCTTAGCTGGAACTTACCCCTAAATATTTCAAATATATATATGTATATATTTTGGGGGATGGAAATTAACAAAAAGCAAATCCTGGACACATGTTGCATTCAGTTTGGCCTCTCGAACGGTGGGACGGGTAATGCTATGTTTTGACAAACCCCAAATCGGGCGAAAAACTGAACGGAACTGTTGAGGGATTCCTTTTGAAGATGACAACCATTTGCACCCGCAACCACCGTGTCGGTGACAACATTTATTTTGACAAGGACTTTCTCTCACACTCCCCAGCTGCAATTTAGCCGCGTCGTTTGGCGAAAGGGGTTTAGCAGGAAGTTGTAAATGGGCGAGCACAACCCCAAGAGTGAAGTATTTTTCGTGGAGCTTTATTTAGCATAATCGAGTTGATGCATTTTTTGACGCTGCGGTTTCACATAATTGAAAATCGAATCAAATCGCGTGAGAGTTAATCAACTTAAGAACTGAAGTTCAACTCCCCAGTGAATCGAGCAGCAGCAGAAGCTCCAAGCAGGAAATCTAGAATTAGCCCAAATCCATGTAATAAAATTGCGACTATTTGCTTTGAATTGAGTTACTAATGGGATAGAGTTGAGCTACGCATTGCCGCAAATAGGAAAACAAAGGGAAACAAGAGAGAGTGAAGGAATGACTTGACGAATGCTGTATACCCTATTGGAGGAAGACTTTTGTGAGACATTGATAATGGCTGGAGGGGTCTGTGGTATACTTGAATGGAACAAGAAATCTACAACAATAAAAGATGATTGCAGACAGCTAATGAACATTGATTCTTTGAAATCAAATACAAGCGAAGCTAAAGAATATGTGGTCAGAGAATAGATGCATGACTAGCTTAATATATTCACATACCATTACCTTAAATCTTATTTCGTAGTATTTTTAGCAATAAAAAATTAACTAGCAAAAGCTAGGCTAAGGGATAGAACTGCCTACCTCAATATGCCTTACTCAATCTTAGTTTATACCTATATATATATACCTTATACCTTTTTTACTTTATACCTTTTATACCTTATACCTATATATTCCTTTTACCTTTTATGCCCTATACCTTTTATACCTTATCCTCTCACTCAGCTGACATAGTTCATCAGAAAAACTGTAATATCCCATGTAAGCGTATAGCAAACGACACTAAGCCCACAATGCGAAGCGCTGCGTTGCTCCCCAATCAAATGCCGATGAGCTCCAACTCGAGTCTCAACTCTCAACTCCAGTTGCAATTCCAGTCCCAATCCCATTGCCAGTCCCAGTCCCAACTCTCATTCCCTGGTCCAGCTGGCAGTCCCATTAGTTGTGCATTTGCGTGTTTGCTGAGGCTACTAAATAAGCACCCGGCGGATGTGTAATGTCCGCTGTGCCAAATGGACACGACAACTACGACAACGACAACGATGATGGCGATGATGACGTTGTCTGTCCAAGTCAGGAAATTAAGCCCTGTAAGCGGATTTCGACATGTATGCCACACACTGTTCAGCTACTTAGAAACTGGAGTTATGTTCACTTTCATTCATTGATGGTCATTTATTTGATATACGAGCGTATACGGCAATCGTAATCCCCTACTCTCCGCTCTCCCATGCCTCACTTGCTGGAGCGTCTGCGATTGTTGCCAAAGATTCGCAGGTGTTTGCTGCGCGACAGCTCCCGTGCCTCCCTTTGGCTCAGCTCATACAGCTCCGCCTCCAGCTCACGTATGTAGGCGGCCATGGCAGCCGGTGAGAGATGAGATAACTCTACTTGGTAAATACACATATATATATATATATATATCTAGTCGATATTGATTGCATTTGCAGTTCATTTACCCATTCGCCTTTGTTCGTCTTCTTTTTGGGTGCGCGGATTGCTGCTGTTGCTGGCTGCCTCCTGTTCGTTCCTGATGGCCATTTCGGCTATTATGGCGCTAACACTTTTGCGTCCACGTGGACTTTCCTCTATATCCGCATCGATATCGACATCCTCGTCGGTGTCCTCGTTGGATGAGCCCGAGGCAGGTTCGACCTCTTGCTCTGCCTTGTCGTTCTCCATGCTTTTAAAAGTTTTCGATTTAATTCATGTGAGATGACAAATGCAATTTCTTTCACTCCACTTTGTTAGTGTTGTGCAGTGACTTAGCTGTCACAACTGTCAGTGTTGTGAAGTTAACTGTGAAATACAGTTTGTTTGGGGTGGATTTAACTTTAAGTCTCAACACTTAGTAGGAGCTGAGGCAGTTGACTCTTTGTCTACATTTTCAACTTGTCCTTATTTTGGCTAACATTTATTCCCATGCCTATACCTAAACACCAGAAAAACTATCATGAACTAAGCTTTCCTTAAAGGTACTTTCAGCTTAAATATATTTTATGTTTCTATAGATAAACTTTGATATATTTACGTCTATTATTATTCATAAATTCAGCTTCTCATATGCAGCTTTTATAGCTTTTATATACATATTTTAGACCCACCCAAACTTTTAAACATATTTCCTTTCCAGTGCACACTTTTTGGGCTATTTGCGCAGTGGAATCCTTCAGCATTTAACCCTCAAGCTGTGTCAGTGGCGCACATTAGCTATCTGGCGAGGCCATTAACTTTTATAAAGCCAGTCAAAAGGCTGGAGCCCGGCACCAACTTCTGGGAAAACCCTAAACATTAACTTCAATTTGTTGCCGCATGAAGCCAAAATGGAAAATTTCAAATGCGTATTTTCCGCCAAACACAAAGAAAACCTCCAACCTCCAGCCTCCCACCCAAGCCAAAATTCTTTGGCTAATGAGCTGCACAAAATTAATTGTTGCACTGAAATCACGTGCCCGAAAGGACCTGCCAAAAATATCCTGGCAAGGTTTTAAAGTTTTGGAGATATTTATGTGATATATTAGGAGTAGAGAGAGAAGAGAGAGAGAGAGAGTATTTTGCAGTTTATGCAAATTGTGTTTTTAGTTGTTGCTGCTGGGGGTTGCACAGCTGAACAAGCAGAAGCCACAGCAAAGCGCAGGGACACTCGCCAGCTATTAGAAAACGTTTCCACAAGGACTCGGACTCGAACTCGAACTCGGACTCGACTGGCAAACAATCCATCATTAACACATGCAAAACACCCTGTGACCCCAGCACCAACGACTCCCCTCGCAGTCACTGAGTCGTAGGTGTGTGGGTGTTGCACGTGTCTGTTTGCATTGCGGGCAGCTTAGACGACAACCAGACGACAAATAACAAGCATGAGTGCGATTGTTGGGAGTGAACAACTAGGAGATACCCTGGAATGTTTAGTTAAATTGTTGTATATATAATTAAGTATGTATAGGCTAGAGCTACAGCTTGAGTAGGGGTATCCAAATGCTGATATATTTTAAAGGTTTACATAAGTTAGACTAAGCTATCAAATCTAGTGCCTCGTTTTCGTTCAATTATTGAAATGCAACTTTTATAAATATTAATGAAATTAAATTAAGTATTGAGACAAAAAATATCCCTAAATATTTATTTTAAAATGCAATGCATTAGATCTTATACCACTCGAATTCCATAATAATAGAGTATGTCTATATAAACTCACTTTTGCTGCGGTATTTGACAATGTTAGGGAATTTCTGTAAAGCAATATTGCAAGAGAGAATTTTTTTTATTTTAATTTTTATTTTTATTTTTTTTTTAATTTTACTGTTTTTATTTGCAATCTGCTTGCTTGAGTCATCCAGTCTTAGTGCTAGAGCATTATTATGGCTATGTAGTTTGTAGTTGTATTTCTTCTTTAACAAGTTGCAGCTTAACGTCTTTGTGCATATTATAATTAGTCACCCATCTACCCGCTTGCTACTTTAAAGGCTGCTGGGTATAAACCTGTGCCGAATGTGTGCCGTGCGCAGGACAAAGGACGCGTGCTTATTATGCCTGTATATCCATTGTTGCTGCTGCTGTTGGTCGCCCTGTTTGCTGTTGCTGCTGTTTTATGGCCACTGGAAAAAAGTTGTGGCAAAAGTATCGCTTTTTACTTTTACTTGCGGCTCATGCAAATTGCACAAGTTAAATTTTGAAAATGTCAGCTGCGGCCCTCTTTCTGCTCTCTCTCTCTACTAGTCCTTCCCCTCTCTATAATATCCCCATTTTACCCCTGCTTCGCGTCTAAATGATGGCTCATGTTATGCGCCTAACTGCTGTCCAAAATCGCTCCCCTGGGGTTCTAAGTACTAGCTATACTGCTGTGTGCTTTACGAGTGCTTGTGCACTGGCAGAAAATGTAGTACTGATTGAGAAATATGAATAGTATTTGGCGTAATCTGTCGTTAGGGTATATCTCTCCTGTATGAATGAATATGAATGAATTTCCCTAGCCTTCCCAGCTTCTGTTCAATATTTCATAAAACACTTCTAGAACTCTGTCTAGGGTATCTACAGTCGATATGCCCACACACTTCTCTTACTCCTTTCGAACTATACCACACATTTCTCTCAGTGTATAACGCCACTGTGTAACATGTTCGCATTACACTGCAGTTTATTTGCCAGGATTTCCATGTTATCATCGTGCGGCACGTGTCGCCGCTGGAGCTGCTGTTGGCTCTGATTTTGGCTCGCTTTTAAATGGCTGCTGTCGTGACCCGGCAAAAGCGAGAAGTCCAAACAAAGGCAAAGGCGGAGGCGAAAAGAAACGCGGCACTCAGTCAACATGTCGTCGTAGGCAGTTGCCACTGTAGCGGGTTGAACAACCTAAACAACAACTGTCCAAACAAGCGCAACGAAGCGAGCCAAAACATAACTAAACAGCCGAGCAGCCAAAACAAATGCCGGCCAACTCTCTGGCCCAGGACATTGTCCTAAATATGAAGCACCCAAGCAAATGAACTGCATTTGTGCGTGGTGCTGAAACTCCAGCAGCTGCTGCTGCTGCTGCTGCTGCTGCTGCTTTGCCCGGCTCTGCTCCTCCTTCTACTGCCGCTGCTGTTATAGCAGGCTCTGTTCTTGTTCCTTCTGCTGATGTGCCAGGTTCCATTCCCTAAATTCCAACCTGCTGATTCCTACATCTGCTGCAGCTCTTCCCTCTTTACCTCTTGTTTCCTTCTCCTCCTACTATTACTTCCAAGCCAGTTTCTTCTCTTTAAATTCCAGCTGCGTATGTCAACTCTTGATCCTACTCCTTCTGCTCCTACTCTATGTGTCCAGCTGGCATTCCATCCTCCAGTTTTTCCTGACTCCACTGCTGCTATGCCGCTCCCATTGCTGCTCCTACTCTTCGATATGCAAAATGAGCTCCAGTTACAGCAGCTGCCATGCTGCCTCCTCCTTTTACTCCTACTGCCTGCTCCCTCTCCTCTTCAATCAGCACAATGACCTCCATCGGGTGGCTGCAGCCCTAATTGCCAATTACCAAGTCTCATACTCAATTCCAACCCATTTCATTCAATTTGCATGCAATTCCATTCGATTTCCATCCTGTTCAGCGCGCTTTTCCATTTTATTTATGCATATATATCTATATACCTGATCATAATTAAGAACTGAGTTTATATTTTCCTGTTAGCTCTTTCTGTTTGGTACTATGCCAACACGTCTCTCAGCTTTGAACTTGGCAGCGCATTGCTATGGGCAGTAAATATGTCGCAATTATATTATATAGCTGCCATGAATAGGAATAATAGGTATTTATATAACAAAAATAAGTATAAGCATAAATTTCTTAATAACTTAGTCTTTTAGGTAGTTGAGGTTAGGTCATTATCAACAGCCTAGAAAGGAGGACTAGCTGACGGAGGGAAGTACAAACTGTTGTTATTATAAAATATTCGAGTATATATACCTGTATGTATAGATCATAGTTTTCTAGTAATCTCTCTGTCTCTCTCTTTGTTTTACTGAATTTCTTCCTTTGGCTCTTTCTTTCTTGATTCCTCTGTATCTGCCTCACCATATTTTCCCTGCTCTCTTTCTTTCTCTCTCTCTCTCACTCTCTTTCTCTCTCTCTCTCTCTCTATCTATCTATCTCTCTCTGTCATACTTCATACACTTCTTTCTATATACTTAATTCAGGGTATTTCATAGTCGTCTTTACCCTGCTAACTGCTCTCTCTGCCTGTTATTAATTGCAGCCAGCTACCAATTTTTAATTAATACCAATTTTATGTACCTAGTTGGCGTTGTTGTTGTTGTTCCTGTTGCTGTTTGCACATGCAAATTGCGCATTTAATTGGATTAACGCACATTTCCGATCTTCACTGTGCTCCTCACGCCGCTTGCTCTGGTTTCTGGCCCTGGCCAATTCATCATCGGGGTCTGCGTTTATTTATGTTTGCGTTTTTAATTATGTCGCATTGGCCGAGCGCTGAGCCAACTGAGCCAACTAAGTTTGGAAGTGTGCCATGTCTGTGTGGCAAGCAGCATGCAGCATGTTGCATGTGTGGCACGAAGCTGCGGATGTGCGGCTCGTTGCAGCTGCAGCGAAACAAAAAAAAAAAAATAACAAACTCAACTTTGATTTACAGCTTTTACTTTTGAGTTGCAGTCGAAACCCAAAAGCAAGATTCGTAATTGATACCCTAGCCCAGGCATTACGAATGCCCTGTTTGATTACACTTTAAGTATATATAGATATATATAGATATATATATTTATATATATATATCTGATTGCATTGTGTGTCTTAACGGTTCAATAATCAGTCAGTCAATTGACTCAATTGCCAATTGTTGTTGGCCTCATCGAAAGGTGAAAGTCTCTCGCTCCCTACCCCTCTCTCTCTCTCGCTCTCGCTCTCTCTCTTAAGCTGTGTAGGCGCAAAGAATGCGCCTGCAGCAATGCAAGGCATAAAAAAGAAGGAAATGACAACGTCATAATACATAATCCTCAACGCTGACATCAAAATGCCAATCAGACGGCATTTGGCTTGCAGCTTAGTCAACTCGACATATTGCAAAAGGGTATGCTGTGCCAGGCAACTAATCCATAATAATAATATTATATAATCTGCCTATAGTTTGCCCGCACGACTCATTGAACTTAACTTATTTTAATGCTGATTAAAGTTTAGTCATCAGCAAAAAAAAATCACGATTCAGTTCAATTATTAAAAATATATAAGGAATATGTTGATGCTATAAGTATATATATATTATAAATATATAAAATATATATAAA